AAAAAAAAAAAAAAAAAAAAACCACACAGAGAGAGACGTCTATGTGTACAAGTAAATCAAATAATCTGGTAGAAAAAGATAAATTACTAACTTTGCCTTAGGGAACATTTAAACAATCAATAGCAAGAAAAGAAAAGAAAAGGCAGTCAAAGCTTTCCCACTGAAATAAGGCATCATGATGAGATGAGCTTTCTTGACTCTGGGCATTCTTGTAATTGGTCACGTTCTTTGCTTATGGGCTGTTATAATAGATACTGATTCCTATTCGGGACCTAAGTGTAAGTCAGGATAACTCTCATACCTACGTATGGTCTTCATCTTTCACACTTGACACTTCGCAGAGTTAGAAAAAGGTTGTAGCCCTAGACACTTGTATGCATTTAACTCAAGAAACCAAAAATAAATAAATAAATAACAAAATCTTCCACAACCTATAAAATACTAATGAAAATTTAAAAATTAATAAAAACTAGCAAAGCTACAAAAAATGAAAAATCTGATTTTTAAAATCATCTTTTATTTTGAAAAGAATGACTAAAATATATATATTGCTATGGAAGAATAAGAAGAAAAACATAAAGAAAAAGCAAATGGATAACTTTAGAAATCAGGGAAAAAGAGCATTTAAGAGACTTCTAGGCCAGGCACAGTAGCTCACATCTGTAATCTCAACACTTTCGGAGGCCGAGGCGGGCGGATCACAAGGTCAGGAGCTCGAAACCAGTCTGGCTAATATGGTAAAACCCCGCCTATGTTAAAGATACAAAAATTAGCCGGGCGTGGTAGCAGGCGCCTGTAGTCCCTGCTACTCAGGAGGCTGAAGCAGGAGAATTGCTCGAACCTGGAAGGCCTAGGTTGCAGTGAGCCGAGATCGCGCCACTGCACTCCAGCCTGGGTGACAAAGAGAGACTCTCCTGTCCCTCAAAAAAAAAAAAAAAAAAAAACCAACACAGAAGAGACGTCTAAGTGTGTACAAGTAAATCAAATTAAGTCTCGGTAGAAAAGATAAATTACAAACTTTGCCTTAGGGAACATTTTAAACAATCAATACAACGAAAAGAAAAGAAAAGGCACACACACGTCACCAGCTTTCCACTGAAATAAGGCATCATCGATGGAGACTGACCGCTTTCTTGACTCTGCGGCATTCTTGTATTGGTCACCGTTCTTTGCTTATGGGGCTGTTATAATAGATAATGGATGTCCTATTCGGAGGATAAGCTAAGTCAGGATAACTCTCATACTCAGTATGTGTCATGTTTTCCACTTGACCTTCGCAGAGTTAGAAAAGGTTGTAGCCCTAGACCTTGTCAAACTCTC